TTAATGGATCTTATGAGGTACATGCACTACACACTGAAAACTGTTTTCCATACATCTTGGTTAATCACAATCAATAGAGTCAGAGTCAATGACGATTATGCAGAGCTAGTGTAGCCGAGGCCCTTCCCGTTATTCCTCGGAGAACCAGAGATGGATACATGCAGTCATGAGTTCATCAGTATTTATTAAAGATATTCTGGAGCCCCTTCATTAATGACATGATAAACGTAATGCTCTCTTCTGGGTGCTTATCAATATCTTACCTCAGACTTACTTACTACAAGAACATGTACACCTCACAGCAGAAAACAAATAAGCTCACAAGTATTTTTAAAAAAGAAGTCCCTAATGGGTAATGATTGGATTTCTTATGGGAAACAGTCCAATGTCACAATAGGCACCAGCACAAAATCTATAGCAAACAAAGCAGATAGGAAAACTGTCAAAAGAAGTTTTCTAAGCAGCATAGCCTGAATGGCTGTCGCTGACCTGACACAGCTCTTTCATCAACCCAGATTTCTAATGCATCTAATGTTATCCCCAAGAAGCTCAAAGTAATCCACCAGTTTTATCTGACTTTTAGAAACTCCTAAGAAACCTGCAGAGTACCAGAAACATCAGCCTTGAGAACAGCTACTCCCAAATAGACAACATATAATTTTTTCCAGATCAAAACCAAATTACTAATATTCTGTCATTAAAAGATGCACTTTTAATTAATGGGAAAAGTAGAGAAAAATGGTTTTTAAAAGGTCAAGACATTTTAGGTGACTTTATATTTACACTGATACTAACAATAATTATAAAACAGTGATGAAATGCCATTGAAACATCAACAAAGTAAATCCCTAGAGATTCACACACCACATTTACATACATAAACTAGAAGCACCAAGCTTTTTCCACCTACAAAAGGCTAGAAACCCATGACAATGATGTTCATAATGGCTTAGAGACAAAACTGGTCCTGACAAAACAAACCTGAACAAGGTCTCTCCAGGCTGGCTGAAGACCACCATGTCCACCATGCTGCTATCAATCTATTCAGGCACACATGCCTTAAAGGCAGAGACAAAACAGAACAACTAAGTGTGTCCAGAGGAAGGAGGCAGCTAGTGTTTTGCAACAGTAAGTGATAACGGTTTTCCCTCCAACTACAGATGGCAGAAGAGAGGCCTGGAAACAGTGTGGCTGCTGCTTACAATACAGGCAGGAAGCTTACAATGGCTGAGAAAGCAGGCCACATAAGTGGAAAAGGAGAAAAACATTCAGGGGATTTGAAAAATCATTCAAAGAGGATGGCTGGTATTTACTTAAACCAAATGGGAGCAAACAAAGGTTCTCTAATGTTAACAGAAAATTGTGCTTTCTCATGCAAACTAAAATGTTTTGGAGGCTCTTAAATGAGGAGTGAGCTTATGAGACAACCCTGGGCACCTGCTCAAAGTCCCTGGTGAGTGCATGGCGAACTGGTCAGCAGAGTTGGCCCCAGGCTGGACTTGTTCCTAGGGACTGACAGGCTCTTCCTCACTGGGAAGCTCTCCATTACATTTGCATGCCAACTCCTACCTTGCCCTCTGCTGTGAACTCATGACGTCATCTGTTTGTAACCCCCTTCACATCCAGAGTCAACCGTGGAGTGGGAGAACAGTCCAAGCATCACAGAACTGAGTGGGAGGGTTTCCCATTTCCCCTTCTCTTACCCTTTCTCCTCAATCATCAGCAAAAACTGTGCTAAACCTTTCTAAAAATTCTCAGAGATGTCACCCTGAAAAGCTAAACAAAGTAAGTCCTTCTTAGTCACCTGTTACCAACATGCCTTCTAGATAATCTTCTAAAAGATAAGTAAAACTCAACACTCATCCTCACCCTCATCCTCCCTAGCCTTTCAAGACTGCTGCCAAAGTCAAGTCATTTATCCTATGGATAGGTGACTTCTGAATACAAATTTTCCACAAATAAATTCAGTGGGAAATTTTAGCTGAAAAAAAAAATCAAATTGCAAATGTCTGAATTGCTATGCAACAGTGAAAAATACTGCTAGGTTGCTAACTGACAAAGAAAACAACTGGTTTGTCATCTTGTGGGATGTAGCAGTACCACTGCTCTGTGGACAAGCAAGATGACAGAAAGTCCAGGAAAGAAGCTCAGGTGGTTGAGAGGAGGCTTAGAAAAATGCAGCTCACAGACAATGTGAGAAGCCGACGTGGCAGAAAACTGTCTTCAGGATGTCCTGGGTGCTGGCACGACTGGCAGGCTCTGAAGGCAGAACCACTTTAGACATACCCTTCTCCCCCATCCTAAGAGGGGTCTATTGAACAGTGTTAAACACTGCCAACAGCCTTACAAGCAGGGTCAAGGGGCTGCCGTCGTGGCATAGCACATTAGGCTTCTACCTGCGTCCTATATAGGTACTGTTTTGTGTCCTGGATGCTCCCCCTCCAATCCAGCTCCCAATTTATTACTTAGGAAAGCAGTGGAAGATGGCTAAAGTCCTTGGGCCCCTGCACCCATGTGGAAACCCAAAGAAAGCTCACAGCTTCAAACTGGCTAACCTCTCAACTGTGGTCATTTGGGGAATGGACTGGCGAATGGAAGACCTCTCTCCAGTTCTGCCTATTCTTCTCTCTGTAACTCTGTCTTTCAAATAAAAATAAAACTTAAAAAAGAGGTCAATGCTTCACATGACCCAAAGGTGACTGATGACCTCTAAGGGTGCAGCATTATATATGGCACTTTCAATCCAGCTCTGTGCTTTTGGCCTGGGAAAACAGCAGAGAAGAGGCCCAGTCCTTGTGACCCTGCACCCACATGGGTGTGGGGGGTCATACAGACCTAAGGTCAGCAGGGGCCAGCACTGCCCACAACACAGGTGTCCTGGCAGCTGTCGGGTAAGTTGTGAATGAAGGACCATTTCAAGTAACTGGCTTTGTGTGAAAAGAGTAAGGAAGAGCCAAGCCAAGTCACCTGTGAGGCCAACGTAACAGAAATCAGTCAAGATCTCTGCAACTTGTTCTCAAACCAGAATCGAGGAGGCAGGAAACAGGTAGAAGGTGGCCCTTCATGAATGCCACAAAACACATTTAAAAAGCTTCAATGCAAAGATGTTTTATAGATTTACTGACTCTGGATACATAAAACCAAGCCTCTAAATAAGTTCCGTGTGCATAAGAAAGCAGAAGAAAGAACAGCAGGTAAGCTGTGCAAGAGAAAGCAAGGCTGGGCTGGCCACTGTCTCTTTAAGAACCTCCTTGGAGATGCATAACCGTGGAAAGCTTGTGAATACAACATTGATTGGGAATGAGGTAACCACAAACACCGGTGTCTCAAATGAAAAGGGATTCAAGAGCTGACCCAGAAAACAAGCATCGTAACCACCAGATGAAATTTTAATGATAAACACAAGATGCTCTCCTACAAGCAAGACTGAAGCGCCACACACTAAGCCATCCACTGAAGTTCTCTTGGAAAGAGGAGCCTCTCCGGCCTGCAGATCAGGTTTCCTCTCATCGATCAACACAACGTGGCCAGGGCCGGGCTCTGTGCTGGCAGAATCTGTAATGGGAACAGACCTCGAGGGAGCAGGGGGCGGGAGGGCAGCTCTGGCACCAGCACTCCAGTCAGCTTGCCTTTCGGGAGCACCATGTCCAGAGAGAACATTCTTAATTGGCTTTGGAGAGGGAAGTCTCTGTTGTATCTAAATTTCTTTTATGACAATCTCAGTCCAGCCCTAGCATTTTGTTCTCAATTGTCTTCCAACACACACACACACACACACACACACACACACACACACACACACACACACACACACACACGGCAGGCTTCTTTATGAGCCTGAATGGTGTTAGTGCCTTTTGGAGTTAGCAGATTCTTGGCATTTGTGGGCAGAAAGGACTTTGTGGCACCTAGTGACAGGGTGTGGAGCCAGAATACTGCCACTAATCTTCCTAAAAACTGTAGTTCTACAGTACTCCAAAGAAAGATTTTTTTTTTAATTATTTGAGTGGCAAAGAAGATCTTCATGCATTGATCCACTGCCCAAATGGCCTCAACATTCAGGGCTGGGTCATAATCAAGACAGGAACCTGGAGATCAATCTAGGTCTTACAAGATAAGCTAGGAAATGGGCAGGTAAAACTGCCACTTGCAACACCAACATCCTGTAGATTTGAGTCTTGGGCTGCCTTGCTTCTGCTACAGCTTCCTACTAACACGCCTGGGAAGCAGAAGATGGCCCATATGCTGGGGTCCCTGCCACTCACACAAGAGAACTGGATGGAGTTCAGGGCTCTTGGCTTTAGCTGTTATGGCCATTTGAGGAATGAACTAGTGGATGGAAGGTCAATCTGTCCCTTTCAAATTGGAAAAAAAAAGTTTAAAAAAAATTTTAAAGGATACACTTTGAGTTGATTTTCTTAATGTACATACATAAATCCAACTCTGTGGCAAACTATGAAAGCTTCCTAAAAGTGGTAAAGGGAAAAGACATAAAAGGAATTTGTAGAAGTTGACATTTCATTCCCTGGCAGGAAGACAAACAGCCCTGATCAGGACAGCACATACAGAAAGCACGCCCGTGCTGTGGGAGGGTGGTTATGTGTGGCCACAGCCTGTCCTCACAGTTCCAGCTTCAGCACAAGAGAGGAAGAACAGGGCCTGCTTGTGCCAACACTTGCTATTAGAATTTTTTATGTCTTCATAAAATACAAACTGTTTGCCTTAATGAAAATCTAACGTAACATGCCACAAGAGTGATTTAAAAGCTAAAAAAACGTATTGAGACAAATGGACCACAAATCTGTTCAGCGTCATTTGCTTCTCACCACTAGCTGCAGAGTGAACAGAACCACCAAGACCTTCTGCCTTGACCGTGGGCTCCAACTGAGGAAGTACATACATATTCTCAAGGGAAGACAAGGCCCAAGTAATCAGAGGGCACCCAGGAAAAAGAAGGCACAGGAGACGGAATATGTGAAGGGAAAAGTGGCCTTGCTTACCCAGCAATGACAACGCCGTCGTGAGAATGCACATCACACAACACTGCATCCGGAACAGGCTCCAGCTCACTCACGGCCCCCTTTCGATTCTGCATGAGGAAAAGGGGGATGCAGTTTATATGGTTCTCAGGAGAGCTGGAAGGCAAAGTATTTCAGTGATCTGCACCCCACAGTGCTGCCTTGAAGGTAAAAAGTCAAGCTCCTAAGTGCGTTCAAGTTACCATGTTCACCAAAGGCACTGAACAAGGTCAGCTGAGATGAGACTCCTGAATATAAAGGAAATCCAGGCACACGAAGAACCACAGTCCACAGCAGGCTGGCAGGTGTCTGCTAGTAATAGCACTTATTTGAAGAGGTATACAAAGAATATTAAGTAGCTCAGCTCAGTGCAAAGTATTTAGTGCCCACTGATTACTGTTGTAAGAACTTGTAGAATAAAATGGAAAAGTATATGCAAAGATAAAATATCAGGATGGAGAAAATGAGAAAAGGTGACAGGACTTCTGGTCACAAGGTCAGGGGTTTCATGGAAACAGTGTCAAAGAAAGCTCTCAAATCTAAACACCCATGTTCCCTGTGTTTACAGCTGCTATTAGAGAGGGGAGAAGGAGAGGTACTTACCACTGCATGCCTCCCACGACTTTTCAGCTATTTTAACATGATGTTTTATTTGAAAAAAAATGCATATAATGCACACAATAAATATCTTTTAAAAGTTAGGAAAATACAGGGAATCTTGGGGCCGCTGCTGTGGTATACAGGGTAAAGCTACTACCTATGGTGCCAGCATCCCATTGGGCATCAGTTTACATCCCGGCTGCTCTAATTCCAATCCACCTCCTGCCACTGGCCTGGAAAAGCAGTGGAATTAGGCCCAAGTGCTGGTGCCATTGGATCATTGTGGGAGACTTGGGAAAGTTCCTGGAATTATACTGGCACCGTTTTAGGCATTGAAGCCATTTCAGGAATGAACCAGTAGATAAAAAGATCTCTGCCTTTCCCTCTCTAACTTTGCCTTTCAAATAAATAAATCTTTTTAAGAAAAAGAAAAATAAAGTAAATCTAAAGGCATAAAAAGAATTTGTATGTGAGGCTGAAGAGTGAAATCATGAAGGCAGAAAACAAGCATAAATAAAGCTCTTCAAGAGTACCAAGTAATCCAGGATAGGCAGGTGGTACAGGCTGGAGTGGGGGCTCCTCCACTTTCAATCTAGTTTCCTACTAAAGCATCCTGGGAGACAGCACATGGTGGCCCCTGCCATACAAGTGGGAGACTCCGGTGGAATTCTAGGCTCCTGACTTTAGCTTGACCCAGTCCATGTTACTGTGGGCACTTGTGGAGTGAGCCAGCACATGAAAGATCTATTTCTGTCTGTCTGTCCTTCATTCTACATCACAAGTAAATAACAATATTTTTCAAAAGGAGGACAGGAATGGTAATGAAGTAGGTTAAACCACCACTTGAGAGAGCAGCATCCCATCAGAGTGCCTGGGATGGTACTGGAGTGCCTGCTACTCCAATTCTGATCCACCTTCCTGCTATCGTGCCTGGGAGGCAGCAGATAATGCCATCCACACAGGAGACCTGGATGGAGTGCTTGGTTCTTAGCTTCAGACCAGCCCAGCCCTGGTGACTGCAAGCATTTGGGGAATAAACCAACAGATGAAAGGCCATCCTTTTAATCTCTCCCTGTCACTCTGCCTTTCTCCCTTTACCTCCCCCTTTACCCTAGATATAGGAAAAAAAATCTGTGGAAATGATAGTCTTACCCACTTTCCTGTAGCCCTTGAACCTTTGTGCCCTAATTAACTATGTAAAGATTGTCAAAAATAGAATAAAAATGGAGAAAAAGAAAAAGGAATACCAAGTAATTTATAATTTCAACTTAGCCTATCTAGCACAAATATTAAAACTAATGGTGATAAGAATGCCAAGTGGGGTTTCTTAGCAAATAGCCAGGGTTAAGTAAGTGGTAGCTATTACTAATAGAAAAGAGATGGTACCTATTCTATTGAAATCAACATTTATGAAACAACTCTACTCCAAAAACTATGCAAGGTAATCTGTACAATGACTGTAACTTCACCTCAAGGTCAAGCCTGAGGTCAAGAAATGAAACTGGACACATCCAAACGGCATCATCCTGCTGCTGGAGATCCAGGGAGGGAAAGGAAAGATTCAGAGTCACAGTCAAAGTTGAATGAGTAGAAAAGTTCTTTTGAGGGAGTAGGTACTGAAAGAAAAGCAAAGTGCCTGCTAAGAGAACATGCATGCTTCTGCTATTTACAGAGTCCTTCTGAGTGGCCCCAACTCTAAGAGATCCACCACCACAGTGAAAAAGTAGCACAAGCAAACTCTAGGAAACAAACACTAGGGTCCATGGAGCCAGGGTGTCACACCATCTCCATCCACCCTGGTTGGGGACTCCCAAGTCCAGCTAGGTTCCTGTGCTTACAGGTCAGTCTCTGTCCAGAGACAGCCAAAATCTCAGGGTTCCCTCAGGGGGTTCCCCAGGCACTGACCTAGGAGGAGCTTGACTGAACTCCCTTCCCCTTCAGCCTAAAGCCAAGCAAGAGCAGCTCAGAGCCCTTGGATCTGTGGGGTTGTACAGCAAACAGCACCCAGGTCCCAGACACAGGAAGCCTGCGCCACAGCAGATATACCACTGCAGCCTTGCAGATCACAGAGGGCAGGGACACAGTTTCAGCCCTGCTCCAGGAAAAAAAAAACAAAACAAAACAGGCAGGCAAAGTGAAAATAATTTGCCCTAACTCTACCTTTCCTTTTGATAAGGCTTCCTTTCATCCTACAATTACAATAAGAACCCCATCATTACACTTACTGAAATACACAGCAGCTAAAATCTCACTGATGCACTCCTCATTGTGAACAGTGTCAGGAAATAGGCCCAGATACTCCAAATAGAAGCCTCCCTCACATTCTGCCTGCAGTTTTCTCAATCATCAACCTTTTATTGAGTACTTACCAAACACATGGCTTTGTATTTAAGAAAAAATAGGCATTCAATTAAATTTGGGGTATGTAACTTGGGAGTGGTTACTAAAGGCCACGTACACTTAATGAGGTGGTCTTCGGACACCTTTACTCTTGTTATTGCTAGCCAAAAGAGGAGGTGCCTGTCTCCCTCCTCTCTTTATCAACAGACAGAAAGCAAAATAATTAAGCCACTGCCTTGTCTCTCAGTGACTAACACTGCTTAGTTCAAGCCACAGGACACCAACCATCTCCAGCTCCCATGTTCACAAACTTAATTCCATCCCAAGCTTTTCCTAAACTGTAGCAGCACCTCCCACCACAACCAGGTCCTTTTCTTTCTGGCCCTTAGGTTGTCTGAGCACATTTCTTTGTCATATGTTTCTGCCCAGTTCTCACCTACGACCCATCGCATGAACCTAAGCAAGCATTCAGGCAGGTGTGTGGATGCAAATAGATACCATGGGACACAGCATGATTCTACTCAGTGGTGATGTCTTAACAAGCTTAACACCTCTAAGAATACTGCCAATTTTATCTCCTCCTCCCAGGGGCCATGTGGTAATGTCTAGAGACATTCTGAGTTGTCCAGATGGGAGGGAGGGAACGCTACCAGCATCTAGCAGGCGTGGCCAGGAATACCGCTCAACATCCTGCAATGCATGACAGCACTACCCACCCTCAGGAAAGAATGATCTGGCCCCCCAGTGCCACAAGTGCTAGGGCTGAGACACCCCGAGCAAGAGCAGCACTGTTCTCACTAGCCCAGCTGGCCACTGGGTGAGCTTGCTCAGGTCAAGCCTATCGGTCGCTAATCAGATTACAAGGTAATGAGAGACAAGCCTGCACAAGGGCAGTATGTCACTGGCAGTTAACAGGCATGCATCTCCAAGCATATTGGGATTGATTCTTGCAGGACAGGATAGAGTACGGTCTCATCCCTTCTCCCTGCATGAGCACCCGCTTCCCAGGTGCAGCCATGCTGCAGCTGTTTCGTGCTTCCAGCAGTTTTATGTAACTGCTCCTTGACAGTTCTCTCCTACAACAGCCTTCATGGTGCAAATTCCTAGCTGTGATCTAATATTTCTGTAGAGACTGTGAAGTGATAAATGCTATGGAAGCAAGCCAGGAGGTTATGTGAGGGAAGAGAAGATGGTGCTTAGAGACATTTAATAATCTCCCCCAGCCTGCCCTGGCAGGGATGCTGTCGGCTCTGCTTTTGCATAAGGCAGTGCTTTTGCTTTCTTCATCTTTCCAGAGGCGAGCACGTGGAAAGGAGCTGCACTGGCCCCTACTCTAACAATCCCAGCCGGCAGAGTGGCAGTCACTGGCAACTCCATCTCACCCTTCCTCTCTCCAGGAGAGCAAGAGGATGCTTCCCAATCTTGTGGTTGGAAATCGGAGCATGCATCACAAGGGAGAATAAAAAGGGCAGCAAGTCAGCAGCAGCTGTCAGGTCTGCTCAGCACAGCCCTTTCCCTTGGTGTTTGACAATGACCCATGGGCTGTACTTGACAGCAGGGTTTGCATGTCCTTGTAAGCTGTTCTGTGCAGGTAAGGATGTGGGCTGCTGCCTACCTTCCAGTTGGTCCTTAACATGTGCTCCCTGGCTCGGCACTCTTGGAAGACGAGCTTCCAGCAGGAATAATCTGAGATGCTGCTCTCCGGAAGGTGCCCTTCCTGCTGGCACAGCCTATACCACAGCACTTCGTCTTCTGCGATCACCTTCCACGTCTTGCTCACCTAGAACAGCAGAAGGGACACAAATGTCAATTTCTGCAATTAGAGGAGCCCCTTGCCATCCAAAAATCAATCAACACCTAGATCACTGCCCTGGGTTTATGGCAGTATGAAATGTCTCATTAACAAACACTCCGAGGTGGGAAAAATACACGCAAATGTTTCCAGTTTTATCTTTCACGTTTTCAAAATTATTATATCACCATATAATATCATGTTTTAGACTGCTTGGTTAAGTCATCATCTAACAAGAGGGAAAAAAGTGTACATACAAGGCAAGAAATGCAAACTTCTCATGGTAATTAGCCATGTGATCATACACAGCTTTTCATAACAGAATTATGACCTCTACCCAGAGTAGCTGTAGTTTCATTTTCTGGATTTGGACCTGGTGGCCTGTAAATAAAAAGCTCTAATACAGCAAACATTCATAGCTCCAACTTAAGACATAAGACATTTAAATCTACATCACATGCTAGAACTTAACACTGTAAATGTAATTCAATCTATACTCAATAGAAAACTCCAGAACTCTGAGTTATGGCAGAGAAATTCACATCCTCTCTGCTTAAATTTCAAGTCCTAGCAGAGTCTGAAGGAAATAACCATTTTTGCAGTTACTGTTCTGTTTCCTAAGCCTAATATGGGTTAATGATGGATCTAGTTCATCAGAGAATAATGTACAAAATTGGCCAGACTGGAAAAGATAGATCCAGCAGGTGAGCATGATGCAGTCTTCAGCATGAGCTGGGAACGCCCACTGCCATCCTAAGGTTGAAATCCATTTCCGATCAACTAAGAATGGTGACCAGTGGCCTACTGGGTCCTGTGTTCCTTAACTCTCCTGTAGGGCCACTTCACACATCAGAATGAAGAAGAGAGGAAGGAACATGAGCGAGCCTCAGCAAGACAGAAAGTTCTCCAGGACCCTCGGAGTATGCCCCACATCAGGGACCTGGGATGAGTGGAAGGCTGGGTGAGCTGTCTCCATTTTTCGCTCCTCTTACCCCAGATACAGAAAAAATAATAATGACATGGAAACAATGGTCTTACCCACTTTCCTGTAGCCCTTGACCCTTTGTGTCCTAATCGACTATGTAAAAACTGTCAAAATAAAATAATCACCAAAAAAGGAAGTTCAACATGAGCACTGCAGACACTCATTAAATGAGAATGGCAAATCAAAGATCTCTTTAAAGATCTCTCAACAGTGAAAAGGATTCTCACAACCAACTTTCTCAGAAACTCAAAAATTAATGAAAGGCCTGCAATGTTCTTGATGACATTCACTCAAGAAAAACAGCAGGATCTGTTGTTCAGAACAGTAATTTTGAGGTCATGTTAAGTTACTCCCTCCCAGCCTCCAGCTCCACAGGGACCTTGAACTCCAACAGCCTCACAATTAGGGAAGCTATAAAACTCAGCAGCCAAGCAGTCACTGGAGGTTCAGAAGGATTTGGGGCTCCTCAGAAATTCAGTCCCCAGAGAATGCCACCATCTGACCTGTCTGAAAGGTGCCGGAGAGTGCTATTCTTGGGTTTCTCTGTATCTGAACTGAATGAGCACCCTTTCTTTCCAGGGCATCTGTCCAAACACTAAGGGACAATTAACACTACAGCTGTTTGAGGTGGCATTATCAGTCATGGCTAACAGGAGACTGACCAAAAAGCTATAAAAGGAAAATTGGGGAATGGGATTTAACAGAAGCTTTTAAAGATGCTGGTATACTCCTGGAGGTCTAGAATGCTGCAGACACACCTAGGAAGACCCAAGAAGGCCTTGATACCTCAACTCTGGCTGCTCCTAAGATTCTTCACAAGCAGTAAGTGAAGGCTAAGCCAGAGTTATGGACTGCTGGTATGGGTAAGGGGTGCCCAATGTATAGAGTATTTCAGCAAAGGCTGGGAAAGCTACTGGCACCCTGTGTTTAGGAAAATCTCTGCCCAATCACTAGCTGACTAGTGAGTTAATCAAGTTGGTACTTCCATAGACCCACAAAATAAAGAATACAGACTACAGAATTAATCCCACAAAGTAAATAAAAAGCACTGATAGCATAAACAGCAGTACACAATAAGAACAAATCATGCAGAGATTAATGATCGCCATACTTGCCGCATGATACTAAGAATGTCCACTTGTTAACAATAAATCAGTAGACATGCAATGAAATAGGAAAGTAGATGTGTATGCAGCAAAAAGTCAACAATTTTAATCACTGTTATAACATGTTTTAATCATGCTCAAAACACAATCAGAATTGTGGCACAGCACATAAAACCACCACCTGTAATATCCACATCGCACATAGGTCCCGATTCATTCCTGGCTGCTCCACTGCGGTTCCTAGCTCCCTGCTTCGACCTGGGAACAGCAGCAGAAGACGGCCTAAGCGCCTGGGCGCCCACCACCCACAAAGAAGACCTGGAAGAAACCCCAGTCTCTCGGTTTTGGTGTGTCCCAGCCCCAGACTTTACAGCCATAGGAAAGTGAACCACGGGTAAAAGATTTGTCTCTCACCGTTAACTCTGACTTTATTCAAATAAATAAATAAAGTTTAAAAGAACACCCTATCCAATCAAAAGCATGTCAAAGCCAGTAATGACCAACCTAACACTGTGCTGGGCATATTAAAGTCCTAGCTTCCTTTCTCACATTTCTGCTGCTGCGCGCGCGCGTGCGCGCACACACACACACACACACACACACACACACACACACACACACACACACACAGCAAGCACATATCCTATGTCATTTTCTCTGTAGGGATTTTTCTGAACCGGAGTGGCACACTGTAATGCTGAAGGTGCCAACGGCTCTAGGGTTTAACTGTTTTGAATGGAAGGATGCAGAAAAGCTTAGAGATCAGCTCCGTGCATCTCCTCATTGCAGGAGGGTTCTGCACAGCACCCCTGCCAGCTGACGTGCAGATGAGCCTGAACTGCTTCCAGTGGACATGCTCCCAAACTGGTCCGCTGGACCACAAGGCCATCTGACTATTAGAGTGTGCAGACAACTCATTCCAATGACAGCCCGTATTTTGCCCTTTTGAAGAAAGCCATCTCTTCCACTTGATCTCTCTCAGATAAAGATGGCATCACATCTGCCCTTGGCCTAAATATTCCCCACCTCACTCACTCAACACCTGGTCATGTGACTAGGTGGCTTCCTCACTCGCCGCCTTGAATACACCCTACATTTGCAGATTTACAGCATCTCTCTTCAAATGAGCTGGTCAGGATTAGACAAGACCTCAGCTCTGCTCTGTCAAGTGCTAGGAACAGGAAGGGCTGTTCAGGTATCAGTCTGCAGCTGTGCTTGCAGATATAGCATCACGACTTCTCAGTTCATAATGCACTAAAGCCTCTGGAGGCTGATTCGTTATTAAATATTTAAGACAGGCAAAAAAGGGACCCAGCGCGGTAGCCTAGAGGCTAAAGTTCTTGTCTTGCAAGCACCGGGATCCCATATAGAAGCCAGTTCTAATCTTGGCTGCCCTGCTTCCCATCTAGCTCTGTGCCTGTGGCCTGCGAAAGCAGTCGAGGACATCTCAAGCCCTTGGGACCCTGCAGCTGCATGGCAGACTCGGAAAAGGTTCTGGCCTCCTAGCTTCGAATCGGTGCAGAACCAGCTGTGCGGCCACTTGGGAAGTGAATCAATGGACAGAAGATCTTCCTCTGTCTCTCCTCCTCTCTGTATCGCTCATTTTCCAATTAAAAATAACATAAATGAAAAAAGAAAAGACAGGCAAAAAGGTCGAAATAACATTTCAGACACCAACAGATTCATTATCCTGCTTAAGAAACAAGATATGACTTGTAAAATTTTTTTTAAGATTTATTTTTTTGGGCCCGGCGGCTCAAGTCCTCACTTTGAACGCACCAGGATCCCATATAGGCACCGGTTCTAATCCCAGCAGCTCCACTTCCCATCCAGCTCCCTGCCTGTGGCCTGGGAAAGCAGTCGAGGACGGCCCATAGCTTTGGGACCCTGTACCCATGTGGGAGATCTGGAAGAAGTTTCTGGATCCTGGCTTCAGATCAGCATAGCATCAGCCGTTGAGCTCACTTGGGGAGTGAATCATCGGACGGAAGATCTTCCTCTTTGTCTCTCCGCCTCTCTGTAGATCTGACTTTCCAATAAATAAATAAATCTTTAAAAAAATAATTTTAAAAAAGCTTTATTTTTTTAATTGGGAAGGTAGATTTACAGAGAGAAAGATCTTTCATCCAGTAGTTCACTCCCCAAATGTCCACAATAGCCTGAGCTGAGCCAATCTGAAGTCAGCTCTTCCACGCACATGAAGGATGCCAAGCTTCTGGGCCATCCTCTGCTGCCTCCCAGGCCTCAGACAGAGAGCTGGATGGGAAGTGGAGCAGCCAGGACACGAACCAGCAGTCTTAAGGGATCCCAGCACCTGTAAGGCAGAGGACTAGTCAATCAAACCATTGCTCCAGGCCCTATTCATAAAATTTAAACTGCTTTGTACCATATTACTTCCAAAATTTGTGGAGAGATGGAATTAAAAAGTTATTTAAGTGCACCCAAGCTTTAAAAGCCATGTATTTCGAGGGCTGCCATGATGGTTCAATTTGTTAACTCTGTCTACAAACACTGGCTTCTCATATAGGCATCAGTTCGTACCCCAGCTGCACATCATATTCTCTCTGCACATCTGCCTTTCCAGTAAAAACAGATCTTCTTAAAAAAAACTTAATTGTTATAACATTTGTTTTTTCTAGGAACTTATTGGAAACCCCTTATATACATTGAATTTTTTAAAATCTGCACCAAAATAAACATCTTTAACTCCATTTTCCATAAACTTGCTGAAGTACAGTCCGTCACTCTCTATGCAGTCTGTCCCTGCCAGCTCTAACCTCAACCTGGTGCTCATCACTCTTCAGGGACTTTTTAAACACAACTGCAATTTATTTTAAAAATGTCCAACCTGGACTTCCACGGTGTTACTTTTTATGCCTAAATGCTTCATTTTCTCT